CATGCATACTACTATTTACATAATTGCCATTGGCATACCCCCCTTACAAAAAGAGTACAAGGACCAACCCAAGACACTTAGATGGCGTGCTGATGGCACTGATGGTGGCTGAACCGTCACATTTGGGCATAGTTGTCAAGGTGATGCCTAGGCGGGTGCTTGGGCGACAAGGCGCCTTTTGAGGTTTGGCTTGCCTAATTGCCAAGCAGTTTTTTACTTCCTACTATAAAATACTTTTTTTGTTCGTTCTTTTTTGAGATCATAATTATAAAATAGACATTATTAAACTAAAATAATCATTTTGTGTTTATATACTAATTTCTTTTTATTGTTTTCTTATTTATTAGGGTTTAATCCACACAAACATTGCTAAATGCTGTATTGAACCCTCAAAGACTTCAAAACCTGAACCAATATGTAAGGAAGAACTTAAAATTTTATCTACTACTACTACTACTGCTACTTCCATTACTTTTTCTTTTCTTCTTTTCCTATAACCAAAATAAGGGTTCATCCCCTATATTTTTTGAATTTTATTTTCATTCTTCTTTTTCTTCTCATGAATATGTTGATTTTCTATATTTTAATATGAACTTTATACTTTTCTTATGAAAGTTATGAATAATTATTAGGGAAATATGGTTATGGTACCTAGGGAACTACCCTAGGATCTATGTTTTTAACATAAAAAAATCCATCGCCTAGGCAGCAAGGCGCCCTGCCCCCTATTGCCTAGCCTCACCTTGGTTCATTGGAAACTATGCCTTTGGGATGTCTTGAAGAGCTTCTGGGTTAATTAATTAATTCAGATCTGCAAGGGAAAAGAAGAGAAAACAAGCAGAGATTCGTGCTGAGAAGAAATACACAAGGACAAGCCTCATTACTTGGTGAAATACTTTCAGTGCATTCATGAAGGGTGAGATAGACTCAACGAAAACCAATGGAGATTGGACTTTTATAAAACCACTAAGGTAAATGCAATTGGTTGTAAATGGATTTATAAGAGGAAAAAGGACATAGATAGTAAAATTGAGGCTTACAATACCTGGTTGGTAGCAAAAGGTTATAATAAAAAAGAAGGTATTGACCATGAAACATTTTCACTTGTGAAAATAAACTGACAGAAGACACTGAAACCCTTATTTGAGTTTTATTGCTTGGGAAGCATTTCAGAGTAGGATTCGATCTAGAAACTAAGGAGGAAGAGTTGTGTCACCTACAGTTAGGCTTGATTGAGAAGTGAAGGTGTATTTTGGATGTGAATACCATAGAGAGCTGCATTTGTAGAAGTTTATTCGACAAGTATGTTTTTCAGTTGTGTCACCTACAGTTCGGCTGATTTATTTATCAAACCCATATGGGATTTCTTGTAGGAATTGCTCCTGAACAAGGGAGAAACTCTTAGGAAGAGTGGTATCTATTGTTCCTGAACATTCATGGGGGCATCTACCATTTATTGGTGCATTACCTTGCCAGTGTCATTTTGACAAAAAATTGAGAGGATTTCAGAATTTCCAGCATTTATTCAATTTTGGCGAGTTCAGGTTTTTATCTAAATATCTGTGTTAAAGTAAAACAGCTGTAGTCTACTTGTGTATAATGAGTAATTATGCCAAGTTCAGGTTTGTATCTATGTTGGCAAAAGCCAGAGCTAGAAACATTAGGATTTGCCAAGGTGCCACATTGAATGTTGTAGGCATTTGAAAGTTAAAACTAAATATAATAATTTTTAGCCTGGAAAAACACTACAAGTGATCTGAAAACATGTTAAAATGTAAACATGGATATATAACATAATCAACATGGCAAAGCTTTTACCCTTCAGATTCATGTCTATATGATACATGAACCATTTGGCGGTAAGCTCTAGCATACGAGTGTTTGAGGGCATGAGCTTTACATATAATAATTTCTGTTGACTGTTGTGATCTGTTTCCCCTGGCCCTGTTTAATAATCTGCATCTTGGTTTCATGCAGGTTCGAGAAGCTTCAAGAGGATGCCTTCACCTATGCTTTTATGCTGAAGGCCTTGGACATGGTTCCTGCTCTTGAACACTAGGCACGCTGATGTATCAAAATTTTCTTAATTGGATCTATAACATGCATTACTTAATATTATATTTATTTTGTACTTGAATTTAGAATGAGAATGCAAACTGATGGTGGCTCGTTGTATGATACGAACCTCTTTCCTTCATTGAGAAGAATAGAGGATTCCCTCGAGCTGTAGTTCTAAAGCACCGCTCAGAGGGGATTCGAGACCTACTCTCAGAGAAGACACGAAATAAAAGAAATGTATATTAATTGATCGATGATTCTATTACTTGATTGTTCTTGCATATATAGGCAATTTCTCATTACAAAACACCAAACACCTTAACGGTCTAATGATTGGATAACGATGGTAGATAAGTGAGTCAAACTGTCTAACAATCTGTCACGTTAGCTCCATGATTCGATATTCTCCCTAACCAACATATGCAGGTGAGCCTTGAGTTGCATATTTGATCTTTTGCCACGTATCCCTTGCTGTTATGGACCGTAACATTGTAGGGAGACTTTGGAACGATTCCCGCTGCCACCAGGGTTGGGGGGTTCTGCGTATGGGGTATGGGCTACCCCCATTCACCCCATGAACCAAAAAAAAAAAAAGAATTAAATATTGTTTCAGTTTACTTAGTCCTCATTTGTACCAGTCATTAATGAATTGAGTAAACATATTGAGTTCTATCGTGCTTGTTGTTTGATCAAACTAACAAACTTTTATGGACAAATATAATAGAGACGAGGTTTTAAAATAAGTAGGATTCTCGATCAAGCATAACTCAATGTGACCTCTTTTATTTTCTTGATTCGAAAATTTTTGAATGTTGCCCACAGAAATATAGTTGGATTGGCAAAAACGGAGGGGTGCATCCGCAATCTTTGGGGCAATAGCTAATAGCACTTACATTAAAATAATAGTTGTATACAGTTGTAAGGTCAACAATTTTGTATTCAGCTAGGGTTACAAGAGCATCTTCTTGGAAAACTATTTGTGATATTTTACGTCTTCCTACCACTTGTCAAGTATAATCTTGGTTATGGGAATTTTGTCAAGTTATAGGATCGTGTTTGGATGGCAACCTTCTAGACACAATTCTCCTCTTTATGTCCTTTCTACCTATAGGGAGGAACTTATATTTTGATTCTTGAATCCATGGTTTTTTAAACCGAACCAGTCAGGGTCCAGTTACTGGGTCGAACGGTTGCCCCGTTCTGACAAAAAAATAAAAAACAGTCAAAACGGTTCGAATGGTTAATTGCCCGGTTCAGCGGTTTGCTGACCAAAATCAACGGTTTTTGGGGAAAACAAAACCAGTCACCTGACTGCTTCCCAGATTTTCTAGTCCGGTTTTGAAAATCATGCTTGAATCTGTCTAGTGCAACTGTTGAGCACAATTGGGATTTGGGTCTTAGAAAAGGGCTTCATGATCATGAAGTGAAAGGTATCATACGTTTGTTGCAAAGCTTGGAAGAGACATGTTTAGATGTGGGTAAAAGGGAGGGGAGAATCTAGACCCTATCACCATTTGGTTTTTTCACCTTAAGTCTTTTTTCTCTTCCCTTATTTTTTTATCAGTAATAGTATTTCATTAAAAGGTTACAAAATTAGGAGAGAGAAAATTTCTTAACTCTCCAAAAAACAATTTAGAATTACAATTGAGCCTAGAACATATGGTTCCTACCAACCCCTTGTTTTGCTAATGCATCAGCCAATCCATTTGTTGTTCTTTGAATCCCATTGAATTTTACATCCATAATTTTTGTTAGCCACTCCATTACCAACTTTGAGTCACCTTCTATAATCAGATTTCTTATGTTTATATCCATTGTCTTTTGCAATCCCTTCATGATGGCCATAATGTACACCCTTACGGAGTCACCTACACCAATTGGGCCAAAAATTGCCAATACTTTTGCCTTTACTATCTCCAAACACTCCTTCAATGCTAGATGGACCCAGGTTACTTGCACTATTCCCGTCGAAGCTCAAGTTGATGTTATCAATCAATGGTGGAGATGAACTAGGGCTTCTATTGGACTTATGATAGTTGGAATTAGCGACACCCTTCCAATTTTCATGAGGTCATTAGTTAAAAAATATACAACTTTACCCGATGAACCACTCTCACCATGACGGTTTCTATGACAAGCGACAACCTCTCTAGTTCTTTTTTTATCTAAAAATAATCTTGAGTTCCTTTTGTTAGATAGTGTATGCCCTTAGCTCCAATCAGATTGATGTGCGTTATGTCATTTATTGTAAATGAATAAAATACATAATTGATTCATGTGATTTGGTGTGTTTCTGTGTAATACCCTTAAACTAGAAACTTATGAGACTCGTGCTAGTTTAGAATCTTCACAACAATTCGATAAATCTGGGGAGATTTATCCTAGCAAGGCTAACACTGATGTGCTGCCAAGTTGGTGGGGTGGCTTGTCTCAGCTTCCAGGGTGAGACCTGAGGTACATGTAGTGTGGATTTTCTTAAAACCCTGAACCGGACCAAATTCCAGTATTGCCTTGGACCTTGGAGATAGATGGGCAAAATTGGAATGTTGCACCTGACCCCTAGACTCAATTGTGGTACTGCACTAGGTGTTGGCTTGGGTTGTCTTTGATATGCCAATTAGTGAGATCCTTAGAGGGGGTCAAAACTTGGGTATGTTGGGGTAGTCCGAGAATTCATCTGAGTGGGTGATTATAATGATAGGATCAGCCCCTTTGTTGGACAAAGTGAATGATCAAGGAATACACTCTCTCTAATGGAAACCTAAATTGCCGGCAGTTGATTTCAAACGTCGAAATTTGGTTTTGCAAAATATATTTATATAGATGGAATGTATAGGAATTCGATTCTGATGTAATATTAATAGAAAAAATTAGGTTTTCTATTTTATTTCATTGAAAATGAAGCTGGTTTGTGTGAAGGAGATGATTTGCGCAGATAAGAAATTTGCGATCTGCAATTTGCAGAAATTGAAACTACAAGCAGCGAATAATTTTTCTTGCAGGTTTGGATCCACACGAACAGCCCACTGATGTGTTCGTTTTCTGACTTTGATTGTCATTTATCAGCTCTATTTAATTTTCAGATCATCTTCTTGAATTGGATCTTGAATTAAACATCAAACCTTAGACCCTTTCAAACCAGATTGGACCAAATTGGTTGGACCGAATCTATGGTTCGATGGGGGCTGTTCTCAGCCCTAAAATTTCCTTCATGGGCTGAGGGGTTGATGGTTAATTGCAAGATGCAATTCGGCCCACATCTGTAAAACCCAATTTTGATTTGTTAAAACTGCTTCAGCCCAATTCAGCATAAATGCTACATGGGCTGAACTGCTCTTTGTAGTTCAGCTCATATACCTAGATAATATTATTTGATAATACTATGGACTTTAAATGAGATGAAAAGGTTTTTAAATTTTAATTATGGGTTTTACAGTTATTTAATTGATTGGATTAATTATAGATTTCATGCATGTGATGTATGTGATGTGATGTGCTACGTACATAGGCCATAAGTACTTGGCCTATGTAAATTCGATAGTGGCTCTTTTGCACACCATGACTGAATGCACATCATTTCCATGGCATCCATAAGATCATTTGATGATCTCCGAGCATGATGGACCCCACATCAGCTTCCTCACCAAGAGGAACCGTGTGGAACCCTAGCCATTTAGGGCCCATCTAAATCTGATTTTTAGAAAGTCAGTGGGAGCCACTTTGGTTTGACCTAAATAAAACTAGGGCATAATTATTTGTTCCCTCCTGAAAATATAAGTGCATGTGATAGGAAATTCCATATGGTGAATTCTCTAAAGGCCTTCCATCATCATTAGTATGAAGGTTGGCTGTATTGGTGGGTGGAGATGCACTATAAAATTGGGCTATCCATCTGCTAATGCAGTTGGCTAGATTGCTTCATAAGATGATAGGGGCATCATAAACGGATGTGGGAGGGGCCTATTCTAAAATGGAAGACTCTCTCACGGTACCTTGGCGTTCACGAATATGATGGGTAAACACTTACTAGACAAAAAGGTTTAACTTAAAATGGCAATGTATCAAGAAATCTAATCATTCATGCATGCATTAGATCAAACAATTCAAGGGCATCAATTCAAATTGAATGATTACCAACTATATTGTGCAAGTTATTTTTAACCTTGCATTCAATTCAGTTCTTGAGTAGTAGATCTGAATTTCTAGAGTCTCTCTCAAGCACTCTAGAAATTCCAAGAGGTTAGAACAGATAGGCCAAGTTGAATAATGAATGTCTGAATTCTTTCTCAAGCAATTCAGACATTACAAATCTTGGATTTGTAAGAGAACAATTCGACCCATCAGTTCTACAATCACTTCTCTAATCAAGAAACATCAAGGCAGATCTAAACCATTTGAATGATTCAAGAAAACTTAATTACATAATCTGAATTTACAACATTCAATCTCCATTACAACAAGAAAGAAAGAAAGAAAGAAAGAAAGAAGTAGAAACTACATGATCTAAAGATGAATTCGAATTCAAAGAAAACAAAAACTGAGTAAGAAAGTAACTTAGATCTCTCAATCAAGCTTCCCCTCCTTCGAACTCACCTTCTTCTCTCTTGGATGCTTGGATCTCTTCAGCTCCTTCTTCTTCTTGCGCCTAGCTCTCTCCTCTCCTCTTCTTGAATTTCGAACCCAAGGAACTAGAGAGCCTTGAACTCAAGCAATTGAACACCTTCCCCCCTTCAAGAGACTTCCTTTTATAGGCTTTCAAGGAGTCTAGAGGCCTTTCTTGAAGCTTCTAGAATTGGGTGCATTTCACCCCTCTTGAACCTTCTAGAGTGCTGCTCCCTTTCTCCTTCTTGAAGCCTCTAGAAGTTGCCACCCCTTGCCCCCTTTGGGCTGCACTTTGGGCTGCAATTTATCTGAGTTTTGAGCATATTTTGGCTGCACTCTAGGCTGCTCTTGGGCTGAAATGGGCCTCCTCTTTGCTGGGCCGAATTTAACCTTCTTGCTAGGCTCTCTCTTTAGGTTCTCCCAAAGAGTGTAGCATGGGCTGATTGTTCCTCCATTGCTCTCTTGGCTGGGTTGGGATAAATTAATTAAATTTTGGCTCTCTTTTCTTGCTTTATGCCTTCTTTTTCTTGAGTTGGTTTCCCCTGAATTCTTTCTTGAAATCAAGCTAAAATGGGGTGAAATTCAATCAAACCGGCATAAAATCCATACAAAAACTACATAAATTGTAAGTAAACCATGTACACATCAAATACCCCCACACTT